CAACCTACTGAAATAAATATCTCGAATCTCATAATGATAACAAATATGACTGATTACACTTGGGCCTAACAAGTAATACTAGTAGTAGGGCGGCTACATTTTTTAATATATGTAAATTACTAGAAACAAAAAATTCAATACTGAAATTAGTCCTAAGCTGGTTAAAAGATGGCATCCTGTTGTATCCAAAAGGGTTATTAAATTTGACATTACAACCAAACCCGTCCCCTTATATACTAACAAAGAACCAAACAATTTAGTTAGTCTTAGAAATAAAGAGATTACTAATGATAGGAGTGATAATCTATATCTCAAATTCACTAAACAGACTACCACAATTGCTTGAAGTAAGCCTGATTTTTCTGACTCTGAAGCCTGGCTTAAAGAAATGGCATCTAATTATTGACTTCAGATACCTAAACAGAATGCTTCCAGAAAAAGTATTCAGATTCAAAGGGTTTGAAGTATTCTTAAGAATAACAGAGAAAAATTAGTAAGTAGTAGTGTTAGATCTAAAAGAGAGCTATCACCACATAATAATAGACAGAAAAGCTCAGAGATTATTAGAGTTCAAAGTGGGGAAAAATTAGTATTATTACTGAGTTTTACTATTTGTCCTAAGCTTGGCAGTATAGACTTTTGCGAAAATAATGAGACTACTAATCGGTCACTGGAAGGCATCAAGAATTTTTTGTAAAACTACCTCAACAATATATAGGTCGCCTACTCATGTTGAGAAACATTAACTTGGATAAGGAACTCGATAATATTTCAAGATCTAAAAAATTGCAGTTTTATATTGGCTAAGAAAGGATAACTAGAACTAACTCAACAACTGAAGTATTATAGATTGGTTTTGAATACTGTAACAGGACTGATTACTGCACTAGAATCCAAGATAAATACTACCTTAACAAACCTTCAGAGCTTTTATCAACGAATCCCCTAACAGCATGACATCTATTATTTGTAGTAGGCCAAATAATAAGTTTGAACCGAGCTTTCATATATGCAAAAATCTGTTGTATAGAATTTTACATAATAATTGATGCAGAAAACCAAAGGCCTTGAGAATAGGACAAATTAGTATAACTAACATGCCAAGCTATTGCAGATATAAAATGGATACAAGAAAATATAAGGACAAAAATGGACACTCTATATAGAAACCTTCACGAATAATTCTAGTATATATAAATGCCTCAACAACGAGTTAGTCTGCAACCAGAGACAAAATGTGAGTATTTGGAAAATGGGACCGCTACCACTAGCATATGAATATTGCCTACCTCGAATCAACAGCAGTGCTACTGGGTCTCGAGTCATTTGCATATATAATCACACATCATTAGGTCACTATATACATAGATAACCGTGTGGCTTAAAAAATAATAGAATCAGGAGGAAAAAGGCTATGGCAAAAGGAAATAATATGCCAGGTCTAGGATTTTTGTGACAAATACAATGTGCAAATCCACAAATTTCAATGGGTACTATCAAAATTAAACCCAGCAGATGAACTAACATGATTCTTTAATGACTCTAATTGGGAAGTGACTCAGGACATATATATACAAATAAGTACGAGGTGAGGACCTTTTACTGTAGACTAGATAGCCAGCTACTGAACAAGAAAGGTAACATGCTTCAACAGCAGATTTTTCTGTCCTAAGGCAGATACAACAAACTGTTTCACTCAGATTTGGGAACACAAGAACAACTACGTGTGCCCTTGTTAAGTTTAATTCAAAGAGTGTTCGAACATATAATCTAGACCCAAATAGTAGTAACAATAATTATACCAGTATAGCTATCAGCCACGTGGTGGCCAACCCTCCTACAGAAACAAATCAAAGTAATGGACCTGCTACCAGCAGTCGACTGTTTTTTGCCAAATCTATAAAGCAACATACCACTAGAACCATGGAAGAACATACATTGGAGATTCCAGGCAGTAAGAGTCTGTTCCTAGAAGCTTTGCTCGAAAGAGCATACAAAATGATAGCATCCAAATTGTTATACAAAAAATGACTTATAAATTTGTAGGATGAATTTGTAACATTTTGCTTAAGTCACAAGTTAAGGCTGTGCCCAGCTCATCTTGACTCTTTATTAATGTTTTTAACCTGGCTTAGCCTGCTACAAAAGCCTGTTAAACTATCCTATATTTGGTGGCTATTAGCTATTACCACTGTAGACTAGAGTTTCCAGACCCAACTATAAACTTTAATGTCTAACAATTGGCCTGCAACTAAATGAAATGTATAGCAATTAATAAAGAAGCAGTATAGCCACAGGACTCTTCCCAGTAGAAGCTCTGTATAATTATGTGGAAAACCCACCTCAAAATGCTGCCAAGTTAATATAGAAGCAAGATTTTGCTATAATTGCACTGGGTATCTGTACTATGTGAAGATTTGCTGAACTGTATAATCTTCGTGTAGTAGACATAAAAATAGATAGAGGGCTCTTTTGAGTTAGAATAAACAGATCCAAAACAATCAATTTGCTAAAGGGAAATTCATCCTAGTAGACCTAACAAACTCACCGTATTGCCTTATAAGGCTGGTCAACGAATACCTAAAGGAAAGAGGGAAGGTTAAAAGTCGGAAATTATTATTTTTAAACACATCAGAGAAATGTATGTCAACGGAAACTGTAAATGCAGCTGTAAAAAGAATGATGCATTATGCTAAACTAGATAGAAGATACTCAGAACACAGTTTGCGAATTGGTGGTGCAACAGGTGCAATGAAGGTGGGTCTAACATTACCACAGATTATGAGCATAGGTGAATGGTTGTCTCAGTCAGTGGCACTATACCTAAGATCTTTTTCTACAGCAATACAAAACACATCAGCAAAAATGGGATTTTCAAAAAAAAAAAAAAAAGAGAAGAGGAGGGAAAAAACTTCAAACGAAAACAACCAAATAACAAAGAAGACATCCCAAAAAAAAAAAAAAAAAAAAAAAAGATGATAATCGGGAAATTAATTGATAAAATGAGATTAGGAACGGATGATTATCGAGAAATTAATTGATGAAATGGGATTGGATTAAAAATGCAGGATACAACCACCAAAAAAAAAAAAAAAAAAAAAAAAGGGAAATAACAATAATAAGAGTAAATTGGAAATAGTAAACATTCAGAGAAATAAAATTTATTATGCTTACATGTATACTTTCTCACGATTCTCTTTTTGTCCTCATAGTGTATCTTCTTCGAATAATAAACAGATCCGAGCGAGAATAATGATCTGATGCATGACGATAGTCATGATAAGGTTATTATCGCGAGGATCGACCCTGGACCAACCCCAAAACAAATATGAAACTGGAAATGGCTATTAAAAGGAGAAATTGTGAAACTTAGGATCGGCAGTGCCTTTTTTCTTCGCTGCCCGAATATGTTTTGTGGTCCCCCCCGGCCCCCCCTCCAAAAAAAAAAAAAATAAAAAAAAAATCGGACACGGAAATGTGGGATGCTTTGGGACATGCAAAAAAAAAAAAAAAAAAAAAAAAAAAATGGAAAGAAGGAAATAAGATGATGATAATAATATATCTGCTTCGTAGCTTGCTCCCCAACGCCCAACGAAACTTACCTGTATATACATATATACTTTTTTCTCTTCTTTTGAAATGGGTATTCACCTTTGATGCGCTGCACCTAGCGTGGGCCATCCCTCTAAACGCGGCATATCATAACTGCCCGATTCTCGTAAATCTTCGTCACGTGATCTTTGTACAACATTCTATACATATACAATATCATAGTTATTTTCATAATGTAATATATTGGCGCATATATAAATAAAGAGCCGCAGCGTGGCACACTCCCCATAGTGTATCTTCTTCGAATAATAAACAGATCCGAGCGAGAATAATATAAACAATATACGTAATTTATTTAAGAGATAACCGTTTTGATCTAAAACATTTTACAAAGAAAAAAAAAACATCTTTTTTTTTATTTCTGACTTGGAAAATTTTAACAATTAATTTATACTGTAGTTAAAATATTATTAAACTAAAAATGATAAAAAAATTGATTAAAATTAAACTATCGTTAAATTCAAAATAAATAATTAAATTTAATTATATCTTTACATCTTTCGGAATGTCAGATAATATTCTGATGGTCGGCCTAGAGCAGAAATATGGAACGCTTATATCGTTGGTGAAAAATTAGAGATTTTATTCTACCAAATGTTAGTATTGTACAAAATATTGGCAACGAGGAGTACCGAATATAATGGAATTCTATTTAGTTAATGTCGCGGCTGATGCTGAATTTTGGGGTTGTAATTTGGATCTATTAAACCTGCTAAAATCCACATATACTCTTTTATTAATAACTCTAACCCTAAACCCTAACCTAACCCTAAAAAAAAATCCTACACAAAAGGACCTAAAAATTTTTAAAATTTTATAATAAAATAGATCCAAAATTCAGCATCAGCCGTGACATTAATTATTAAATTTTTTTTATTTAGGAAAAAATATTCCGTTAAGTAAATAGCAAAATTTCATATTCACGTATAAGTAACTTTTTATTTTAAATAGAAAACACATAAAACTCTATTAAGTAAAGACGTTTATATGGTCCTTGACTATGTAATATATAAAATTCCGGAGCGGCTGCAAAATATTATTAATAAAATGTATTCAAATTTTTATGATAATTTGTATTTGACGAATATTTTTACTTAATACGCCAAGTGTGGTTTAAATAGAAAATCAAGTTTTATATGTGGTAACTCAATTTCGAAAATTGTATCGGGCGTTACTTTCCGTGCCTACTGCATTTTGATTGAATAAACTAAGGACAAAAGCCTCTTATGAAAAAAAAAATTTAATACGTATATAGTTTAAAAATATATAATATACTGTATGTATACTCATCTAATTCTATTTATTTATTTTAAAATTTTCTAGCTTATGATTTTTTTAAATTAAATACCAATTTTTAAAAATAATTCAATAAATTAAGTATATTGTAGCTACTTCAAGACACAAAATGCGCGATATAAAATAAGCTTATCGCAGTCTTCAGCCGACTCTACAGTAATTGATACATTCGCACCAACAAAAAAAATGCTACCAGGTTCTAAAACCTCAGATTTGTTTTCAAACAATAAAACACCCTTCCCCTCGGTGACAATAATAATACTAGGACCAGCAATACCAATAAAAACCTCTTTTCGATATTGTGTATTCAAATTTGTTAATATTACAGAGAACTCTTCAATAGGCGGATCATATAACAAAGAACTAGGTGAATTATTATATGGAATTGGAGTAAGAAGTTGAGATTTTGCACTTCCATATCGATAAGTTAACATGTTCACAAGTACGGGAACATCTTTATATTTTGGTGTTAATCCAGCACGAACCACATTATCACTTGCTGCCATACACTCAACACAATCTGTTGAAAGGAGAATGACGATAATTAATAGAGTACAAAAAATTAAATAAAATAAAACTAAACAAATTAGAAAATAAATTTTATTACCTCCAAATAAATAAGCATGGGGTTCATTCGCACCTAAAAACATAGCCTGACCTGGTTCTAATTTTACATAGTTTAACATCAATACACAAAAGATTCCTATGTCTCCCGGAAATTGCTCGTTCAACCGAACTAAAAGTTCTTGTGTGCTTCCTATAGGATTATCATTTGGCTGCAATCGAGAAATTAATGATTTTACACAAGTCGTAACATTATTTGGATCTGCTGTCATCAATGAAGTAAATAATTGTCGAAGGACAGCCTTGTTTGACTCGACTTCTTCAACAATTTTTGAACACTCCCTACCACTAACAGTTTGAACGAAACTTGATGCGACATTATTGCCGACAAGATCCCGAAATTCTGGATATTCGGAAAGAAAAACTATGATTTCCTCTAACGGACGAAAGCCACATAATGTTTCAAACTCTGTAATTGCTACAGCCATTTCAGGCTTATGATTAGGGTCTATATAAAATTAATAATGTATCATTTGATTATAAATTCCTCAAGACAAAACACCGTAACAATAAAATAGTAGTCACCTTTATATATATTTGGATATTTTTCAAATAGTTCTTTACCAAGTTTCTTGTCAGGGTGAGCTTGGATAGAAAGTGCTTTGCCTACAGACAATACTTTAAATAAGAATGGCAAATCACCCTCGTAAATTTTAGCCAATTCTGGAGTGATAAGTTCAGGCTTAGATTTTATCACATCTTTAAGGAAAGTCGTCGGTTGAGTTGCCAAAGCACTAGGACCATTAGGGTGCGTACCCATCCAAAGCTTAAAATTAAGGCATTATTCTAAGATTTGATTCAAAAGAATTTAAATTCGTTTTTTTTAAATAGCAATTTACCTCAGAATAAGGTTTATCAGACTCGATATTTAAGCCATCTAGAGCTTTGTACTGAGCTACTTTGCTGTCAGTTCCTTTTTTTCCCCAAGCATAATTTTGAGATGTACATCTTAAGCGATAGACAGAAGGCTGTGACATTTTTGATATAACAATATCAGAATATACTAACTCGAAAAGTCAGCATAACTGATAATACTGATTATCACGGTAATTGACGAATCAGAATCGGGGATTTGGCTCGTATCTGGTATAACTGATAAACTACTAGCGATGTTAAATTGCGAATCTGTTAGGACAGTCCAGGATTGATGCATTAATAAAATCGATCCCAGGACCCGGTCCTGGATTGAAATTGATACCTTCGTTCATATTTTTTTTAAAAAAAATTTCTTTATTAAAAACGAACAAGTTTTTATTACAACATAAAATAAAAAAAGAAAAAAAAAGAAAAACTATAATTATACATTAAACGAAATTTTATATACAGTATATTATCTGATATAAAAAAAATTTTTAGTATCAAAATTATTTATTAAGGCATATATTTTCAAAAAAAAAAAAACTTGCTAATGGCAAGAATTTCTTCTTGCTAAAGACAAGTCGTGCATTATCTAACGTTCAACAAATGCAGATCTTGAAATTATAAAGGGACCGGGTCTAGGGATTTGGGTGATCTGGGATTTAAGTTATCATGTGACTTAAGAATCGAATCCTTGAAAGGATTGGTTAGGATCGCGATCCTAAAGGATCGATCAGTAGTATAAAACTGTATTTTTAGCAACACTTCGCGTCTCGCTGTTTTATAACACTTTTCTTACAATGCCACGTTTACCACGAAAAGCAGAGCGCAAAGTATTACGTGAGTTAATGTAAAATATGTAAATATATTATTATCAATAACTTTTTACAATAGTTGTTCTCAAACAACCATTATATTTTAGAAGAAAACAAGACGGATAATACTAGAATAGAGGAAAAGCAGTCCGCAAACGAAAATGCGGACACTCAATTTTCAAAAGGCCCGAAGTACAATACTATAGGTAAATTTCAAAGTTATCGAAAAAAAAATCAAACAATTTAATATATGATATATTAAATCCAGTATGTTACTTTATAAGAACAATCTGATCTTGTATATTCGGAATATGATCGAAGCTCGATTACACCGCAAATGAATTACCAATCAACTATACAATCACAAATAGATTTGGATAATGATGATGATCCTTTTGGCTTCGAAGAAGCCGAGAAGAAAGTCAAAGAATTTCGAAAAAGCAATCATGGTTCAGAAAAAAATCATTTAGAAGACTATGACGAAGAGGCTCAAAATCGAAGAGAATTAAAAGAAGTAATGGATGGTGTCTTAATACAAGATGTCTACGAATCAAATTTAAATGCAGACCAGTCCGAAATTGAACAAAGCATTTTGCATAGCATATATGACGACGTACAAACTGATACAGATGGCATTGATTATCTCGCCATGGAGGCGGGAAATAAAATACAAGGTCAAACCCATAAACGCGAAAATGAAGAGAGGCACAGCGAAAATGAAGAGAGGCATAGCGAAAATGAAGAGAGACACAGCGAAAATGAAGAGAGACACAGCGAAAATGAAGAGAGACATAGCGAAAATGAAGAGAGGCACAGCGAAAATGAAGAGAGACATAGCGAAAATGAAGAGAGACATAGCGAAAATGAAGAGAGACATGTCAAAAATTCTTCATCTTCTTCACAATCTCGCAAAAAGAGATCAAATAGACGATCACGTAAATCACGTAACGAAATTGCTGTTGAAACAAAAAAAGATATCATGAAAACAAATGAATTGCAAGCTCTCTTACCTCGTAGAAGGCGCGTAAAGTATGACCCTAAAGGAAAAAAAGTGAAGAATAGTGATACGTCAGAAAATGATGATTTTGAGAACAAGGAAGATAAATATAAGAATGATGGATCGCCAAAAAGAAAAAAACATAAACCCGATCAAAAAGAGAAACCCAATAAGAAACACGATGAAAACATAGATGAGGTAAGAAATAATATTTAGTGAAAATAATGATGAATAATTCATATAAACTTATAATTACTGTACTTACATCGAACAAAATTAAGAAATCAAAACTAGAGCTCGAAGGCCGAATCCGACATTTTGATGATATAGATCAGTTTGTGTTGCCAGTAGAAGTTGTTATTGATTAACATGCTCTTTTTATTTCAAAGAGGTTGCAATAAGACGACTTCATTGTGGCTGCAAACGGGTGATATTATATGTAGATTCAAATTGGAATCCAAAAGTTAGTGATTAGAAATGGTTGCGTTTTATATTAGACTGGGTATAACCATTAAATACCAATTGGTAACGAAAAATATTATCATTTTCAATAAAATTGTGTATAAAGGACATTGTAATAAGAAATTCTTTGGCAAAATTATTCTCGCTTTCAAAAATAAGAATTAAAGGGCCTCAAAAATAAGGCATATCGAATAATTGAATAATTTTGAAAGCCAAAAAAATCGATATTTTCTTTTTTTTTTCGATTTTTTTTTTTCGTGTATTATGAAATTAATAAAATAAATAAAATAAATAAATAAATAAATAGCAACTAAAGGCAAACAAGACTGTATATTAAATGAATATAAATTTTTTAAACATATGGTCAAGTAAACAAATTTTTTAGTGGTATCTTATGACCAGGGAAGAAAAATATGTATACCGAAATGATGTCAAATGTAAGATAGAGAACGTGTAAAAGAGGGTTAAATCATAATTAGGTACAAGAAAACGAGACAAATTTAAAGGATGCAAGGAAACTTGAATTGACCAAAAATAACTGAATGGGACAGGACGACAAAATTAAGGTCAAATAAATACCCTACAAAAATTATTAAAATTTACGTCCTTTCAAAGGAGGAAAGAAGAAAAAAAAAAAAAAAAAAAAAAAAAATTTATATAGCTTAAGTAAATAAGGAATAAGGTAATAATAAGGAAAAATGATTATGTCTAAGATCGTTTATGGATAAAAACTTTTTTTTGAAAACATAGTCCGACATTGAAATAAAAATAAAAATCACGGACCACCATTATTCAAAAAATCATAGATCACCCGTACAACCAAATAGACCAACAGGCCATAATATAAGAACATAAGAAAATAAAAACACTCTTGATCAATCATCATAAAAAATATATATATAAGAAAAAAAAATGGATATAACCAATTTCAAAGGCTTTATAATAAAGGGAAAAAGAAATATATTATGCAAGAAAGCGAAGATTTTTATATAGGGGAATATAATGGATAGTAAAGGATTACATTCGTACCAGATCCACCTCTTGAATTTTTTTTTTTTTTTTTTTTTTTTTTTTACCATCAATGCTAACAATATAAATGACACACATATATATATATAAGAAAAACTAAAAAATATATTATAATATTGTCCTAAAACCATATTAGCAGATATAATACTAAATACCTGCCTTTCTTTATTCATCGTCAACATCTACACCATCGTCTTCAATACCATCGATATTTCTACCATCGGATTCCGAAGTATCACCAGCATGAAGAACTCTAGCGTCGGATTCTCCATTATTACGTCCCTTGCTAGCCTTGATAACACTGCCGTTGTTAATTCCGCCAATTGTAATACCTCTCGGAGGATTACCGCAACGATCTTTGCCATAGTTAATACGATATTTTTTGTATTCATCCTTCGCCTTAATTTGATCGATAGCTTTGATTGCAGACATGATAGAAGTAAAATTTACAAAACCGCAACTCTTCTCTTTAAGAATATTCACCAATTCAATATCACCATATTCAGAAAAATCTTGTCTGAGTTTTTCTTCAGTAATATTGTCATCGAGTTGTCCAACATAAACATTGCGAGAAGCACTTTGAGTATTTACAGCCATTTGAATGTGACCAGGTAGAGGACCTGGATTCTTTCCCCATCCAACTTTAAGTCGTCGATTTTTGACCACCACACCTGTTTGTTGTGCAATGTACATAAAACTATTTGCAGAATTAGAATCAATAAAGGTCACAAAAGCAATATGCTTCTCTGGCATATAACGAATTTGTTGAAGAATTCCTCCCCGGATAACATTGCATATTTCTTCACAAGTTGTATCCGGATGGATATTGCCAAGATAAACTGTTCGATTTCCAGCGGCTGATCCTGAAGCCGTACTACCAGCTGCTGAAGAAGCGGAAGAGAATAAAGGACTTGTAGGACTTCGTAGTTCAGAACCATTATCAATATGACTTGAGGCAGCGACAGTGGCAGAATGATATGGGTCAAAACCAAAACCCATAGCAGCATTGCCAAAACTTTGAAAACTAAGTGAACTAGCCGGAAATGCATATTGTGGTGTTACTCCATTTCCTACACTAGGTCTCTGTGCACATCGATCCTTACCGTAATTAACTTTTTTATTGGCATATTTTGGATCAGTTGGAAGCATTTGTACAGCTTTCATGGCATTAGATATGGACATAAAATGAACAAATCCAATATTTTTTTCTCTAACAATTTTAACATTCTCAATTGTGCCATATTTGGATAAATCTTCTCGTAAAGTAGACTCAGTTATAGATTCATCCAAGTTTCCTAAATAAACATTACGTGAGGCATTTTGAGCATTAACAGCTACTTGAACAGTTATAGGTACAGGAGAAGGTTTTCCCCATCCAACTTTAAGTTCTTGTCCGTTGAGAACCAATTTGCGCGTGGATGCATCTTGGTAAAATAACATAGCAGCAGCACCATCCATGAACGAGATAAAGGCACAACTCTTATCATTAAGGATTCGAACTGATTCGACCGGACCCACTCTAACTTGATTCATCATTTCTTCGATATTAACCTCCGTTGGAAGATTTCCGAGATACACAGTGCGACCAGTTGCGTTTGCGGTGGCGTTACTAACGGCTGCTTGTTGGTAAGAGGACGGAAATTGAGCGCCAGAGAAAGCACTGGTAAACTGAGGGACCATACTATTGACGCTGGGCGTAAATTGATTCATAGCTGCGTATTGGGATGGGACGGCTTGATGGTAAGCATTCATACTAGCAAAATGACCACTTGAATGTCCAGGATGATGGTGAAACCCCGCAGTACCTTGAGAGTAGGAAGGATTGCTCATCATCATTGAAGATGGACCAACCGGTGGATTTTGATAATATATATCAGTATTAGAAGACCCTTGAGCAAGGTCACTTCTCATACCTCCTGGTAAAGAATAGTTACTGCTGTAACCTTGTCCTGCGAAACGTGGCTTTTTAATACTATTATCGTGACTTTGATTTCCGTAATCGCTACTGCGTTTCATTGTTGAATTTGAACTGTAACTTTGAGTCCTAAGTCCTTGCGAACTAGAAAACACCATAAACATAAAGCAACTGAGTGAAAAGAAGAGTGTGATTAAATTTGTAAAAAAAAAAAAAAAAAGAAAATCCGTCAATATTAAACTCGTTCTCAAATTTTGTTTAAAGAACAAGAGACGGATGACCCTAGGATAAGAATCTGAATCTAAAGAAAAATTTTTGAATAAATCTGTTAAAAGCAGATAGTACTGATAGTACTACATACACATCATATTATAAATAATATGAACATGTGAGGTTCACTAATTCATTTATTTATTGCTGTTATTGCTGATAACGATAAGTTTAATTTACAACGCTAGCCAATTGAACCGGTGTGAAACGGTTTATAGGTATAAAATAAATAAATAAGCATAAATGCGATATAAAACTTTGCATAATTGGCATTTACACTCACCACAAAAATGAATTATAACTTAATGAAATTTATTTATTTATTTTTTATTGTCAGAATAAGGTCTTTATAGTCGAACTATGTCTATTATCTATTAACAAACCTATATCTCTTAATAATAAATTAAATAAATCAAAAATAATATTGTAATATTTTCATCTATATGAATATAAACCTCCCATTTTTTGTGATAGTTGATTCTGGATACAACGAACACACCATTTCTTTTTATCAAATTTATTATAAGTTTGGTATATAAATTATTATACAGTGAACTTTTAAAATTTTTATTATAGAACCTCATTTCGCTATAGAAAGAATTTTTTGTATATTATTTTAATAAATTATTAAAAAACTTATGGCAAACAACGTCCCATAAATCTAGGATACAAGCAACACTCTTTAACAGTGTCACGATGAAGTAACCATGCTAAAAAGCGTTCAATACCTAAACCAAAGCCTCCATGTTCTGTTGTACCATATTTTCGTTGATCCGTGTACCAATAATAAGGTGTGGGATCAATACCTATTAAATAATTGTGTATCGTAAAAGGATTTAATATATATGTTATTGCTCTAAAAATCATGTTCATCATGTATCTTACCTTCGCGTTTATATCCTTCTAAAAGCTCTTGCTATAAATGTTGAAATTTTTTTGTCAGAAATCATATTCATTATCATTAATTGATAAAATAAAGTATATAAAATATATGATAAATATACCATGTCGGAGATCCTCATACTACCTCCCACAATCTCACCAACACCGGGAAACAATACATCTACACTTTCCGTTACACGACGATCATCATTACAACGGCTCATATAAAAACTTTTAATTTCGGCGGGAAAGCGACAAAGAAATATTGGCCGATTAATTTGATCTGTCATGGTACGTTCAGGTGATTCTGGAATATCTTCACCAAATTCATAAAAACTACCATCTTCTTTTTTAATATCATGATCTTTTAGGTATATTATTGCATCTTTATAATCCATACGCATAAAAGGACGCTCTAATGGTTTAAAATTTGGATTAAGTTGGTAGATCAGATCGCGAGTTGGTCCATGAGAAAGAACACGACTAATAGTGTCGCAAATTAGATCTTCTAACGTGTTTAACAAATCATCAAATGAAATGAATGCCATTTCGGCTTCTAAATGAGAGTATCTATTGAATGAATTATTAACTTATTATTACA